GAGAGGGAGACAGGGAGAGAAGGAGGCAGAGACAGGGAGAGAGCTGTCGTGTGTCATCAGAACCAATTCAGCTGACCCTCCAGCAAGGTTTTTGTTGTTTTTTTTTTTCTATAATTATATTTTATTAATTTTCATAAACATTTACAGAGATTTTGGGCTTCCACTCATTCATTGTTGCACTATTCTCTCTACCCTCCTCCCAGTTTGTTCTTGTCCAAATGCCACAGTGCTTGTCAAAGCCAGTTCTGATTAATCTTCTTTGTCAGTGTATCCTTTGCCATTCCCTATCACTCCTCCCTGAGAGAGACTTCACCCTGAGTCATAAGGAAAAGGGGACGGCGTATTCTCTTAGCTACTTCCTGCTGAAAAGGGACGCTGTGGGTTTCAGGGTGAAGATCTTCTGTCACTACTCTAAAGGGCCCCTTTGGCAGTAGGAAACACATAGACTATTATGGAGATTGATTTTGGAATTCAGATGCACTCTTATTGATTGTGCTTGGCTGTACATGTACATATCCTTCAAGATGTATCATGGGGGTGTTGCAACGTAGAAGACACAAATTTGACTAACAAGTTATAAGTACATGAGTCCAAAAATTATGGAAAAGTAAAAGATTCTTTCATTGCATTGCTTTACCTCCCCCAGCTCCCCTCCACCATGCAGCCCTCGCTCTAGTCTCCTGTGATGACAGAAATACCCAGTTACATCTCTCTTTTAGACGGTTCTCTCCCTCCTCTGTTTCAGTGCAGTATACATTATTGAACCCATCTTACTCATTCTCTCCCCAACCCCAAGGACAGTCCCATTCTACAACAGTGGCATCATGTAATATTTGTCCTTTTGTGACTGGGATATTTCACTCAGCATAATGTTCTCCAGAGTCAACCATTTTGAATAATATTGCATGAGTTCCTTGTTTTTTAATGCAGCATAGTATTCCATTGTGCGAATATACCACAGCTTCTCTAGCCATTCGTTTGTTGATGGGCACTTAGGTTGTTTCCAACTCCTTCCAGCAAGGTTTTAATGGCTGCAGATCGCACAGGAGGAGATTGTCCATCTTCTCCCATAGAGAAGATGGTGGATTTGAACTGCGTGCCCTTTGGTGGGCAGCACAGCTCCTTACCTCTAGGCCACCAGAGCCCCGTCGGGGACAGAGCTGTTGGCATGCCATCAAGTTAGAGGCCTTGCCCTGTTACTCTGTGCCTTCCTCGTTACCACTGAGCATGCTGGAACCATGGTTACAGTCACTGTGTTAATCCATCTTGTCCTTTCCAAGCATTAGAATTTTCCTCCAAGAATCTGGCCCTGTTAACAACATGCCCAAATATCTGAGACAAAGTGTCATCATCCTTGCCTCTGAGGAGCACCTTGGCTGCACTTTCTCCAAGACATACCTGTTTGTTCTATGGGGTAGTCATACTCTTCCCCAAGACCACAACACTAAGGCAATGATTCCGCTGTCATCCTTAGTCATTGTTCAATGTTCAGATGCATAGGAAGCAATTGAAAAGACCGTGGCTTGAATCAGGTGTACCTCAGTCTTAGAACTGATATTGTTGTTTCTTAGTACTTTGGCGAGGTCTTTCAATGCAGATTTTTCTGATGCCATTTGTCTTTTGATTACTCGGCTGCTGGTAGTAAGGGTGTTGATTATGGATCCAAGCAAGATGGAATTGTTGACAACTTCAGTCTTTTCTCCACTTATCATGATGGTGTTTATCAACTTGCTCTTATGTTTTTCTCTTTAGGAGTACAACACCTTTCTGTCTGTTGTATTGAGGGCGTGATTTACATGTTGCTATTGATTCAGTGATTGGGGTAATTGGCATGGGTGTGTCAGAGGCAGTGAGATTAGCACAGGACAGAGCAGGGTTTAGGGCTGTTGTACATAGGGTCGCTATGAGTCGCAAAGGACTCGACGGCACATAACAACAACAACAACAACAACACAGATCTGTTGTTCACTGAATTACTATGAGTCATACTGACTCGAGGCACTCAACTGACTTGACAGCTCAAGCACACACGGTCTTGTTTGTTTACCACTTGCTCTGCAAGTACAGTGCTTGTCTGTCGGTTTGCTGTCCTGGGCTGACCTGCATGTTGCTGTGATGCTGGAAGCTATTGCTACTAGTGTTTCAAACAGCAGCAGGGTCACGTGTGGTGGACCCACTCCAGGGACACTCATGGACTCAGAGCAGGAGGCAGGGCTAGCCGTCCACTTCTGAAATGACAGGCCTTCGAAAACTATGGACAAGAGAAGAACAATGTTACTTGTGGACTCGAGGTAAAGTCCCAGAGCGGATGCCACTCAAAGTGCAGAGGAGAAGCTACAAACACCCTTTAATAACTAGAATGTGGAGCGTACAAAGTATGAATCTAGGAAACCTGGAAGTTGTAAAAATGGAAGTGTAGCCCATCAAGATCGACTTCCCGGCCTTAGTGAGCTCAGATGGCACTGACCACTTGACTCAGACAAAAACCTTGATCTACTGTACCGAAATGAAGAAATCAAGGAAGAATGGTGTTGTGTTCATAGTCAGGACTACCATTTCAAGATCTATTGTGAAGAAGAGAGCTTGGGTGACAGGATGCATGCAAGGACAATGCCTGCTGATACGACTATCATTCAAATATACACCCAGCAATGAAAGCCAGAGAGGAGGAAACTGAGGGTTCTGCTAACTTCTGCAGTTCAAAGTGGACCAAGCATGCAATCCAGACGCATTAATAATATCTGGTGACTTGAATGTAAGTTAGAAACAAAGAGGAATGACTGGGAGTCGGGAATTACCGACTTGGTGACAGAAATGAGGCTGGAAAATTAGCTGACAAGATAGACTTTTTTGCAATCAGTGATGCACTTATTACAAATATCTTTTAGAAAACACATGTGGACTATCCACGTGGACCTCCCTGAACAGACTGCACAAGAAATCAGATTGACAACATTTGTAGAACGAGTTGATGGAGAAGCTCAGGAACCACAGTCAAGACCAGGTCAAGCGCTCCTGTGGACCATACTGTTAATTTCTCATGTGCAAGTATTCAGTCTGGAGACTAAGGTCTTTGCAATAACTTGCTATGCATAAGAGAGCTGGACAATGACTGGGGTTGATAGAAGGAGAATTGATGCCTTTGAGCTGTGGTGTTGGAGAAGAGTATTGAATGTACCATGAACTGCTAGGAAAACAAACAAGTTTGTCCTGGAGAGAGTGAAGCCAGGATGCTCCTTGAAGTCAAGGATTCAGAGGCTTCGTCTGACATACTTTGGACATGTTGCAAGGAGGAACCAGTCATTGGAGAGGGAAATCATGCTTGGGAGGGTGGAGGGACAGCGCAGGAGAGGAAGACCCTGGATGAGATGGATTGATTCAGTGACTGGGGTAATGGGGGTAGGTGTATCGCAGACAGTGAGGTTGGCACAGGATAGGGCAGAGTTTAGGGCTGTTGTACATAGGGTTGCTATGAGTCGCAGGCAACTCGACGGCACAAAACAACAACAACAACAAGTACAAATTGGATCTGAAAAAAATGAAACAAGTCTACAAGAATGAAAATGTAGTCTTGAGTGTATTCCACCTGAATTTAAAAACCATCTCAAGAATACCTTTGAGGTGTTGAACACTGATGATTGAAGACCAGGTGAGCTGTGGGAAGACATCAAGGAAATCATCCATGAAGAAAGCAAAAGGCCATTACAAAGACAGGAGACAAATAAAAATCCAAAATAGATGTCAGAAGATACTCTGGAAATTGTACTAGAGCATCAAGAAGCCAAAACAAAGGGAACAAATAGCAAAGTAAAAGAGAAAACAAATTTCAAAGGTCAGCTCAAGAAAAGTATCATAACAAAACATGCAAAGAGCTGGAGCTATAAAAAGGGAAGGTCTTGCATGGCGTTTCTTAAGTGGGTAGAAGAGGAGAAAAGGGAAAGTAAAGGGGAGGGAGATACAGAAAAAGGGGAGACAGAAACTGAGAGAAAGAGGAAAGAGAGGGAGAGAGAGAGACAGGGAGAGAATGCTCTGGGGAGAGGTAGAGAAAGTGAGACGGAGAGAGAGGCCGGACAGCAGAGGAGCAGAGGGAGTGTCAGTGGGAGAGACAATGGAGATGAATGTGCTTTCTCAAGTTCAAAGTCATTGTTCCCTCCACTCAATACCCCCAGCTCTGCAAGTGAGGAAATGCGTTGATTGGAGGGATAGTGCTGGTGGCAGAGACTCATGAATGATGCTGTGGCTGCTTCCTGGTGACTAAGTGTGGGCTGTGTTGCTGGCCCTGTACTGCGTGGGAGGATGCAGACCCTTTGGAGTGGTCCTGGGGGAAGCCCAGTGTCCTCTCAGTGTTGGGGACAGTATGAACTGGGGCAGTCCCGGGGGAAGCAGCGCGCCATCTCTGTGACAGGGACAGTTTGGAGAGGCGACGGATGTCCCCTGTCTTACTAGAACCTCCAGGGTGCCAGGCCCTCCTCTGCTCCTGTCCTGACTCCTGGCCCTGGTGGGGCTCCCTCTCTCATGGCCCCCTGGGGACTGGGCCCTGGGGAGCTGACCCTCATGGCCTCTGCAGCCTGACTTGCGCTCGCAGGTGTCGATCCGCCCACCTCCTGACTGGTACTCCAGTGTCCTCAGCTGTGGCCACATCTGCCTTCCTCAGCCAGCCACCACCTACCTGGCTGCACTGACTGACCTCAGGCCAGAAGCCCAGAGGCGGGTCACGTTCCAGAGCATGTGGGTCCTCAGAACCGCCTTGCTTTCAGGGAAGAAGTGGATAAATGAGTGACAGATGTGTGAGTGAATAGATGAAAATGGGAGTGAGGGAGTGAGGAGTTGCGTGAACGGGTGATTGGGCGAGTGGATGAATGGATCAGCGCGTGGATGCGTGCAGGAGCCAGTGGAGAGAATGGATGGATGAGGGAGGGACGGTGACCGGGCAGTGACCTCAGCGTCAGCGAGCATGTCCGACTCCAGCAGCACTGTGTCCTCCTGCCATTTCACTGCAGGGCGATGTCCTGACCACCAAGTACCAGGTGGACCTTGGGGATGGCTTCAAGGCCATGTACGTGAACCTCACGCAGAGTGGGGAGGCCGTGCGACACCGCTACGAGAGCCCCGGCGTGTACCGCGTGTCTGTCCGGGCGGAGAACATGGCCGGACAGGATGAGGCGGTGCTCTTCGTCCAGGTCAACTGTAAGTCTGTCCTTCTGAGACGAGGTGGCCTAGGTCAAAGGAGCCGGTCCCCCCAGAAAGCACGCATGGTCTCTAAGGGCTGATGACCCTCATGACAGTGGGCCCAAGGGTAGGACTCAGGCCAGTCGGGGCCCAAGTCCATGCCGTTGATGTGCAGAGCGGCAGGGCTGTGGAGGTGGCCAGGGTGGTGACGCTGGAGGACATGGAGGGGTGATATTTGCTATGGTGGTGACGGTGATGGCGATGGTAGGTCACGGTGACAGATGGTGGTGGTTCCCAGGTAGCGCTGGCAGGCGTGGTGCTGACGGGGGTGGTGTGGCGACGGTGGCGATGTAGCAGTGGTGACTGTCGGTGGACATGGTGGTGGTGATCATGAGAGTGGCTGTGTACAGGTGATGATGGCAGTGGTGGTGGTGGGTGGTGAGGATGGGAGTGATAACAGTGGTTGTGGTGCAGTCATGTTAATGGCTGTGCAGGGGATGGTGACGGTCACGACACTGTGATGATGGTCCTGACGGCTGTTGTGGAAATGGTGGTGATGATGGCAGTGTGGTTGTGAGGTGCCGTGGAGTATGACTCACAGCGACCCTGTGAACACCACAGCCGAGCCCTGCCCCGCCCTGTGCCCACACAGTCCCTGATATCTTCCAGCCGTTACTTCAGTCACTGTGTCGGTTCACCTGGTTGAGGGTCTTCCTCTCTTTTGCCGACCCTCCGCCTTTCCAAGCATGATTCCTCTCCAGGGAACAGCCCCTCCTAGAACATGTCTCCGGTGTGTGAGATGGAGCTTTGCCGGTTGCCCTCCGAGGAGCACGCTGGCTGTACTGTCTCTCGGACGTGACTGCTTGTTCTTGCAGCCAGTGGCACAGTCACGGCTCTTCTCCAGTACCACAGCTCAAAGGCACTGATTCTTCCTCACTGTCGCCCTCGTTCACGGCCCAGCTCTCTGCGGCAGAGCAAGTGGTGGAGAAGGCCGTGGTTGTGGTAGAGTGATGATGGTGCCTGTGCAGAGGGCGGGGGTGAGGATGGTGATGGTGGCGACGCTGGTGGTGCTGGACTAGGTGGAGGAGAGGGCGATGTTGGCAGTGATGATGGGGACGCCCTGGCGTCGGTGGGGGTGGTAACAGTGTGGCAGACCTCACGACAGCAGTGCTGGTGGTGGTGGTGGTTGTGGCGACGGTGGTGTTCTTTGAAATGACCACAGCGGAGTTGTGAGGGAAGTGGGTGTGGCTGTGGCGATGAGGGTAGCGATGGAGCATTGGCAGTGGTGGTGGTGTGGTTGGCGATGAGGGATCGTGGTGGTTGTGGTGATGGTGGGGGTGGCATTGAAGTTGGTCAGGCCTGGGACCAACCTGAAGCCCATGTCCTGAGCTTCTAACCCCAGCTTCCTCTGGCCCTGCAGCCCCCCTTCAGGCCCTCTTCCTAGAAGTGGTCCCCGTCGTTGGCATCAACCAGGAGGTGAACCTCACGGCTGTGCTACTGCCTTTGAACCTGAACCTCACTGTCTTCTACTGGTGGATCGGCCCCAGCCTGCAGGTGCACTGGCCCCCGAGCCCTCCTAGCCCTCCTGCCTGCAGCTCCTACCTGGTGTGGAGGGTGGGGACAGACTGTCTGAGCCCAGCGGGGGAAGCACAGTTCCTGGGCCCTTGTGGGTGTCCATTCTCCTCCTCTCTGCTCCCAGCATGTGGTCTTGGTGTCCAGGTATAGTGCAGCGGGTGAATTCCTGGGGTCATCATTGGAGACCTGGCCCCTGTGAGGACAGGTGTCAGGAGAGGCATATGGGTCCTCGAGGGAGGGGAGGCAGTTTTCAGAGGGTGGAGGGCATGGGGCCGGGCTCTGAGGCATGTCCTGTGAGCAGTGGGGAGCCATGGACAGTTGCTGAGCAGGGGGGTGTCTGGGTTAGAAGCCCGCTCAGGAATGAGGGCTTTGCAGGGTGGGGCTGTCCACTCTCAGGCTGCATGGACTCAGCACTCACAAGGGCGGCCTCTTGTCCCTCAGCTGACCCCAACTCAACAATGCTGAGGGCCAGCTGGGGCCGGAGGGGCTGAGTTAACTCAGACATCAGCTCTGGAGGGCAGGGGGAGGGGGCAGCGTGTGGTTTGCAACGGCTGGTGGTGGACACTGAACTGCGTGGTGCCGGCGTGTCGAGTGAACGTCTGGTTTTGCTTAGAATTAGGATGGAGGTTTGGGGTCTCTCCCAGGCCCCCATTCTGACCCTGCTAGACAGTGCTGGTGTCCTGATCCCGACTGTGCCCACAGCCCCTGCTGTCCTTGGACAACTCAGTGACAACACAGTTTGCAGATGCGGGAGATGTACGTGTGACGGTGCAGGCCGCCTGTGGGAGCTCTGTGTTGCAGGACTCCAGGGTCATCCGCGTGCTGGGTGAGTCCCAGGGAGTGGCCACGCTGAGCTGGGTGAGTCCCGGGGAGCGAGGTGGCCAGCCACGCTGAGCTTGGTGAGTCTTGGGGTTGGCCGGCCCCCCTAAGCTGGGCATGCCCCTGAGGGCTGCCAGCCACACTGAGCTAGACATGTCCTGGAGTCAGCTGGCCCCCTGAGCTGGGTGAGTTCCAGGGCAGCCGGCCACCCTAAGCTGGGCAAATCCCCAGGGTTGGCTGCCCCCTTGAGCTGGGTGACTCCTGGGCTCCTCCACGCGCCCCATCTGTGTGGCAGCTGACTTGGCCAGCCCTCCTCAGGGTGGCCTCTAGAGATGGACAGTCACTTGTCCAGGCTCATACCCCCTCATGTGCACGGGAAGCAAGTCAAGGGGCCAACCAGGCACTGAGATGGCCAGAAAGGATTGGATGTTGGCTTCAAGGTCCTCTCTAGAGGACACCTGTCCTTTACGCACTGTGGAGCCATCTGCCCTCTGCCCTCATTACCTGGGTATACTGGGAGCTCTCCACCACAAATGAGGTCATTTAGGGCCAGAAGCAGCTCTCAGCCCACATGGCCCCCAGCACAGGACCCACCATCTGCAGAAAGAATGCTTTCCAGTGAACTGCCAGTGGGCCGTGTGCATGGTAGGGCAGGGGGCCAGGCACACTTCCTAATCTGGGAGAGAATTGGCCAGTGAACTGTGGGGGACCAAGTGCAGGGGATGGAAGCAGAGAGAGCCCGTCAGTGAACTATGGCGTGCTGTGTGCACGGGATAAGAGCAGAGAGAACCCCTCAATCATGAGCTGCCGTGTGCACAGCGCGGGAGGAGATAGAACTCCTCAGTGGAAAAGGCCCTTCAGAAGGGGAGTAGAGAGAGCCCTTGGGGAAAGCTCCGCCCCTCGGGAAAGCTCCACCCCTCGGAAAAGTCCCGCCCCTTGGGGGAAATCCTCACCCCTCAGGGGAACCCCCTCAGGGGAAGCTCAGTCCCTCCGGGCTGCTTCTCATCTGCACAATCTGTCATGCTGGACTTTTCAGCCACGAGCCTGGCACTGCCCACAGCCCACCGCCCCAGGCCACATGAGAAACCACAGTTGGAGTAGGAGGGAGGGACAAGAAGGTGGCCGATCCATTATTGCCCTCGTCACCTCCCTATGTCACTGTTACCGAGGTCACTGTCACAGGCAGCAGAGCAAGGTCATCCAGGGCAGCCCGTTGACAACTCCTGTTACATGACATTGAATTTCTCAGACACAAACCCGAGGCCACCCTGAGAAGGCTGGGCAGGCACCGCAGGGCCCTGGGCCCTACAGAGACTGCAGCCACTTGAGGCTGACCACAGCTGGCTGGCACCCGGGTGCTTTGGTCCCTGCAGAGGCTGCGGCCACCCTGGGTTGACCACTTCTGTCTCTGCCCCAGATCAGTTCCAGGTCGTGCCGCTGCAGTTTTCCAAGGACCTGGATGCCCACAACCCCAACATCCCCGAATGGAGGGAGGACATCGGTCTAGGGGTCACCAGGCTCCTCTCCAAGGTACCCCCTGCTCACTGAGGCTATGGGGGTGGGAGCACTGGGTTCCAGAGAAGCTGAGGTACCAAGACTGCCAGGGCCAGGTGACAACTGGTGCTCTGTCTGTCACCTGCCCCTCCAGTCCAGGGTACAGACAAGTGGTGTCCCCCAGGACCAGGACCAGGGTGGATGGAGAAGTGGTGTCTTCCTGAGCCCAAGACTAGGGGGTGCTGTGGTGTGGATGGGCCTGGGAAGTGGGCAGTACATGGTGTGGGCTGCTTGAGGTTGCAGGTGAGCCGGAGGTGTGGGTGGGCCGGGGGGCTCTCGGGTTGTGTGGGGTGTCTGGGGTGTGGGCAACTCTGCAGTGTGGGTGAGTCAGATGTGGGAGGGTGGGAGGAGTGGGGGGTGTCTGGGGTGGGTGGGGTCTGGAGTCAGGGTTTGCCGTGGGATATGGAGGGTCTGGGGTATGTACCAGTCTGGAATATGAGTGGGTTGGGGAATAGAGGGGTGTCTGGGATGTCTGGGTGTTGGGATTTTAGAGTCTGGGGTGTAGGTGGGTATGGACTATGGGTGAGGTGGGAGTGTGGGGGGTGTCTGAGGTGTGGTTGGGTTGGGAGTGTGGGGGTTCTGGAGTTTGGACACGAGTGTTTGGGGGTCTGGGGTGTGGGCAGGTTAGGGAGTGAGGGTGGAGGGGTCTGGGGGGTCTGGGATGTGGGTAGGTCTGGGGTGTGGGCAGGTCAGGGAATGGGGCTGTGTGGGGAATGTGTGAGGGTCTGGGGTGTTGGCAGGTCTGGAGTGTGTGGGTCTAGTGTGTGGGTGGGTCAGGGGTGTAAGGGTCAAGCGTATGTGGGGGTCTGGGGTGTTGCAGATTAGGGTGTGGGTGTGTCTGGGGTGTGTGGAAGTCTGGGGTGTGGGTGAGTCAGAAGAGCTGTGGGAGGGCCAGGGGTGTGGAGGAACTGGGGGGTATCTGAGGTGTGGGTGGTTCTGAGGTGTGGACAGGACAGCTGGATGGTGGTATAGGGCAGGTCTGTGGTGTGGGCAGGGCACTGGGTGGGACATGTCTGTGGTATGGGCAGGGTGGTAAGGTGGGGCAGGCCTGAGGGCTTGGGGAGACGATGGGGTCAGGGGGCCAGAAGTTTTGACAGTACAGTGGCGTGGACAGGGCAGCAGTGTGAGGCTGTAGGACAGGTGTGGGTGATGCTGTGCCATGTATTGGAAGTTGGGTGGTTTACCAGATGTGGGTGCAGGAACAGGACACCAGGAACTGGGACATGTAGCACCCGGGCCACGGGGAATGGTGCTTGAGAGCGTGCTGCTGTGACTTGACCCGGAGTGTGGGGAGAGGGAGGCAGAGGGGGGTGCAGGCTACAAGAAGGCACCTTGACTGACCTCTCGCATGGCCATGCCACAGTGAGGGGCAAAGAGCCTGCCCTGTAGACCTGGGGACCAGGAGTGCTGGGTCATAGGATGTGGGCAGGGGTTGAGGCCAGCCCCAGGCTGAGGGATGAGGTTTGGCTTGCAGGATACTTTGAAAGGACTCAGCCTGAGAGAGAGGAGAGGGAGGAGTTCTGGGGACCCAGAACGTGGCAAAAGCACAGAGGGCAGCTGGTCAACAGTGTCTCTGCCCCTATGTCCTCACAGGAGACCAGCATCCCTGAGGAACTTCTGGTGACTGTGGTGAAGCCAGGGCTGCCTACCATTGCTGACCTGTATGTGCTGCTGCCCCCTCCCAGGCCCACCAGGAAGAGGAGCCTGGCCAGCGATAAGGTATCAAATGCCCTGAGCTTGTGGGCCGTACTGCTGACCTTGTCATGTTACAGTGCATCACTGTGCTACGGTGTGTCACATATGCCACAGTGCATCATATATGACATGGTCCATCACGTATGCCACGACATGTCACCTGTACCATGGCATGTCACGTATACCATGGTGCGTCACGTATGTCATGGCGCATCACGTATCCCATGACCTGTCACCTATACCATGGTGCGTCATGTATGCCACGACACATCACATATGCCATGACTTGTCACCTATACCACAGCACGGCACATGTTCCATGGTGCGTCACGTATGCCATGACATGTCACCTATACCACGGCGCGTCAGTATGTCACGGTGCGTCACATATGCCACGATGCATCGCATTACCCTGTGCAAGGTGGTTCCATTGCTTTGTGCTCACCACCACTGCATTGCACTATAACCACCATCGCCTAGGCATGGCCGTCCAGCCCCAGGTCATGGCTGCCCCGGGTCTTGGAAGCTGCAGATCTTTAAGGTGAAGACTGCCTCTTTCTCCCACAGGACAGGACTCACTGCTGACATCAGTGGGCAGCTCAGCACTGAGCACACCACACCCCCACACTCCTTACATGTGTTGTTGCTTTGAGGAGCTTTCAAGTCACTGAGGCTCATAGTGACCCCCTGGACCACAGATCTGAGCCCTGTCCCTGCTGCACCCTTCTCACCGTCTCTGACAGGCGCCCGCCCGTTGCTGCAGTCACTCTGTCAGTCCGTCTCCTTGAGGGTCTTCTGCTCTCTCACTGACAACATGATGTCTTCTTCCAAGGAATGACCCTTCTTGAGAACATTCCCAAAGCGTGTGACACAAAGCTTCACCATCTCTGCTTCTAAGGGGCACCCTGCTTGTACTTCCTCCAGGACATGATTGTCAGCCTGTGGGGTGTTCAGAACTCTCTGTTAGCACCACGACTCAAAGGCATTCTTCTTCAGAAATCCATAGTCATTGTCCATCTCTCAGATGCATAACAAGTAATTGACCATGGCTTGGGTCAGGTGCACCTTAATCCTTAAATTGATATCCTTGCCCTATGATTCAGTCATATTGACTGTGATTACCTTTCGAGGTTCATTGTGTTACTTTACATGACATTAAGAATGATTATATTACCTTGTGTTCAGTGTGGAAGGGATTGCATGACATTGCATGACATCGTAATATGGAAGCTATGTCGAGCTACATTGGATTGTATTATGGAGATACATATAACAAGGGGACTGTTACATTGTTTATGGAAGGTGAGATTCTATGACACCAGAGTATGAGAGCTACATTGTATTGCATTACAGAAAGATTATTTCATGGAAGGTCTTTCTGTGCATTACATTACGAACGTGAAAATAGACTAGATTATGGAGGATCCGTACATGACATTCTGAAGCCCTGGTGACCTAATGGGCAGATACTCAGCTGTGAATCAAAGGCAGCTGGTCCCCACGGCCTGCTGGTCTGTTCCTGTGGACATCCTGCATTGCTCAGAGCTGGAGCTGACCCGTAGCTAACCCTCCAGCAGGCTTTCAGAGGCTGTGAGTCAGGCAGGAGGAGACTGCCCGTCTTCCTCCCATAGAGCAAGGGGACCTGAACCACTGCCTTTGAGTAGATAACAAGGCTCCTTACCACCAGGCCACCAGCACTAGAAAGGTCCTGAGGGCAGTGCTGCCGCCCCACAAAGTCACACACACATCACTGCGGATGCTGTGCAGCGTGACAGGTCAGAGCTGGCAGCCACCTGCCAATCCAGCAGTGTCCCCTGCTCCCTGGACGCTGCCCCTCAACCCTTTCTATGCTTCCAGAGGGTCCTGGCCATCCCTGGACACTGCCCTCAACCCTTTTTCTGCTTCCAGAGGGTCCTGGCCATCCAGCAGGTGCTGAAGGCTCAGCGGATAGGCTTCTTCCTGCGTGGTGGGGTCCGTGTGCTGGTGGCCCTACGGGACGTGGACACAGGTGAGTGGACACTCAACCTTGCAGGGGTTGGACTCAGGGTCTCAGGGGCTGGCCCTCTGCACTGCCCACAAGGCCACCTAGCCTCAGTGAGTGTGCATCAGCCCTCAGACCTGAGGCCACCTGCCTTCCCCAAGACCCCCATGGCACCCCGGTCACACTGACTTCTGGCTTCTGCCACACCTGCTCGTCCCCACAGTGGACAGTCTCTGAGGGTCCCCTGAGGCTCTCTCCCCCCATTTGTCTCTCCCTGCAACCTCCTGTATCTCTCTCCTCTCTCTCTCCATGTCTGTGTCTCTTTCTGTCCATAGCTCTGTGTCTCTATGTCTCCCTTTTTCTCCCTCTTCTCTCTCTCTTTCCTCTCCTCTCTCGTCTCCCTCTTTCTCTTTCCCCCCTCCTTCCTCTTCCCCCTCCCTTTCTCTCCCCCCTCTCCCCTCCCCCTCCCCTCCTCCCTCTCTCTCTGTCTCTCTTTCCCTTTCTCTTCTCTTTTTTCTCTCTCCATGGTTTTCTGTGGGGTTTTTTTTTCCCCTCTGAGAAAGGACCTTGTCTCAGCATCTCTGGCTCCAGGGTCCTAGACTCCTCCACCCTCTCCAGGGCCCCTGTCCTCCTGGAGGCCTCCACTGTGCCCCACAGAACCTCACAAAGGAAGCCATGTTCCCAAACTAGACACACTCAGAGCTGTGGTTAAGATCCCACAACTGTCCCTCCCACTGACCCCTGCTTGCCTCGCAGACTCCCAGCGGCTGGGCGGCGGCAGAGGCTACTGGGCTGCGGTGGTCCTCCTGGTTGTGGGGCTCTTCGCCGTGGGCACATTCATCCTCTTCAAGTTCAAAAGGCAAGGCTGCCCGGTGCTGGCATGGTGCTCCCTGGCGGGTCTTGGAGGGCTTCCTGGAGGTGGTGGCTGGGAGAGTGTTTTCCCTGTATCAGGTGGGTCTTGGAGGGCTTCCCGGAGGTGGTGGCTGGATTGTGACTGTGTGTCTGTCCTGTGTCAGCTGCAGGGGTTGGGTGTCCCCCCAGCTCCCCTCCTTGCTCTGCATGACTGCAGGTTCCAGGCAAAGGCAGGCAGCCACTCACTCTGCACACGTCTGCTACTTCCCCTTCATCCTGGTGTCTCGTCCTCTCAACCGCCCCCTTCCAGGACAAACAGCTATGTCCTGTCAGTTGGATGAGACCTGGGCCAGAACTGGGTGCTCCTGGGCCGTGGGCTTCATAGGCAGAGATGCCCTTCACCCCCATGCCCCCACCCCTCTTGAAAGCAGCACGTTTTTAGATGGACAGTGTCTGCTAGACGTTTGAGGGGCAGCTTCCCACCCCCTCCGCCCCGTGGGACACTCTTGACAACCTATGATGGGTGAATTTCAATTTCTTCTGGACTTAGAATGTCAAGTTCTATCCTGAAGTACAATGCTGTGAGTGACAGGATATTATCTATATGCATACAAGGAAGACCTGTTAATATGACTCTTATTCAAATACGCAAACCAGCAGCTAAAGCTAAAGAGGAAGAATCGGGAATTTTTACCAAATTTTGCAGTCCAAACTTGATGAAATGTTTAATCAAGACGCATTAATGAGAATTGGTGACTGGAAGGCAAACGTTGTAAACAATGGAGAAGGAAGAGTGGTCAGAGAATACCGGCTGGCGACGGAAAGGAGGCTGGAAACGGAAGGACTGAATTTTTGTATTTTCAGTAATTATTTATTGCAAATACCCTTTTTTTAAAAAACAAAGACACGCAAATGTCCATTTTACACATGGACCTTACTTGATGGGCTGCATAGGAATTAGATTCCACACTTGTGGAAGGAATCTTTGGAGAAAGTATCAGGAGTCAGAACCAGTTCCTGGCTGTGGAACAGACCATGTGCAAGATAAAATGGAGGCCGGATAAAGTGAAAACAAGTCCAGTTTGACCTTGGGTCTATCCCATTTAGATTTAAAAATAATCTTAAGAACATATTTAAGGCTTTGAACACCAGTGATCTTAGATCAGATGTGTTGCAGGGTGACGTCGAGGATATCATCCGTGAAGCAAGCAAAAGGTCATTATAAAGACAGAGGAGAGAAAAAAAAAACGGAAACGGTTGCCAGAAGAAACCACGAAAATTACACTAGACCATCGAGAATCCAAAGCGAAGGGGAAGGATGCTGAAGAAAAAGAGCTGAACGGAAGATTTCAAAGGGTAGCCAGAGAAGGCAGCGAAGGCTATAAGGGGCCACACAGAGAGCTGGATTTGGGGAGTCAAGGGAAGCTGTGTGCAGTGACTCTCAGGCTGAGAAGCAAGTTCAAGCCTCTAGTTGCAAATTAGGAGGTGATACTGGCAGAGTCGTGATGACCCAGGAGGCCTCTAGAGGAGAGGGAAGGAACACACAGCATCTCTGTACCAAAAAGGATTGGTTGATGCTGCAATATTTCAGAAAGCACCATGTGATCAAGAGCCAATAGCAATGAACAGAGAAATTAAGCTGCACTGAAGGCATTGATTGGCAAAAATAAGGCCCCGGAATTGACGGGTTGCCAATTGACTTGTTCACCAGACTATGCCAGGAAGTTTAAGAGACAGCTCCCTGGCTCACTGACTGAAGGAGGTCCGTATTTGCTTCCATTCCCAAGAACAGTGATCTAGCAGACTGTGGACATTATCAAATAATATCATTACCACATGCAAGCAAAATGTTGCTGAAGATCATTAAAAAATGGCTAGAACAGTACATTGACAGAGAGCTTCTAGAAATTCAAGCTGGATTTAGAAGAGGCCATTGCACCTGCGATATCATTGCTGATGTCAGATGGATCCTGACTGGAAGCAGAAAATACCAGATGAATGTCTATTTGTGCTTCTTGACTTTCCAAAGACATTTAACGGTATGGATCATAACACATTATGGCTAACATTGAGAAGAATGGGACTCTCAGAGCACTTAAGTATGCACATATAAAATCTATACATAGGCCAAGAGGCTATTGTTCAAACAGCAAGAAAACACTGAGTGGTTTAAAATTAAAAATAAAAAAGACTCGCATCAGGGTTGTGAATCATTTCTTCATTCAGTCTGCATGATGAGCAAATAATTCGTGAAGCCAGACTCTGTGAAGACGAATGTGGCATCAGAACTGGGGGAATACTCCTCAACAATCTGCATTATGCGGATGACACAACCTTGTTTGCTGAAAGTGAGGAGAACTTGAAGTGCTTGCTGTTGAAGATCAAGGAATACAACCTCCAGTATGGATCACATCTCAATGTCAAGAAAACAAAAATCCTTGCCATTGGACTGATTGACACTATAATGCTGATGGAGAAAAGATTAAAGCTGTCAATGATTTCAATCTTCCTGGGATCCACAGTCAACACCCTTGGCACCAGCAGTCAGGAGATCAGGAGATGTGTTGCACTGGGCAAGTCTGAAGTTGGGAATCTCCCCAGAATACTAAGGAGCAATGATGTCAGTTTGTAAACTCAACTGCACCTGATCCACGCCAGGGTCTCCAGTCACTTGAGAGCTGGGCAGTGAATAAGGTTGATAGAAAACTTGAGGCCTTTGAGCTGTGGTGTTTAAGAAGAGTGCTGAACATCCCATGGACAGCCAAAAGAACAAACAAATATGTCATGGAGAAGATGCAGCCAGTGTGCTCCTTGGAGGCAAAGATGATGAAACTTTGTCTCTCATATTTTGGGCATGTTTCTGGGAGAGGCTATTCCTGAGAAAGGGTCACCCATAACAACATAACACCATCATGTCACCCATAACAGCGCCAGGCAACACATGGCACCCATCAAAGTGCCTTCCCTGCATCCCAGGCTTTCCTTAAGGATTGGAGCTGGCCAGCTACCCTCCAGGGAATGACAGGGAATAGAACAATCCCTCTAAGGTGTGCAGTCTGGGAACCCTGGTAGGCGGTGACTGTGAGCAGAGCCGGCTTGATGACAGTGAGCACAGTGGGAGGCAGGAGAGGAAGACCCTCCGTGCGGTGGGCTGGCTCGGTGACTGCAAGGTGGGCTCCAGCACCGGGACAGCTGTGAGGCCTGTGAACAGCCAGGCCGTGGACCACTGGGTCAGATGCTGGGTTCTTGACAACAGTTGTTCTGGGGCTGCCAGCTCCTCCTTTCTGCACAGGTGGCGGGGTGGAGGGGACCTAAGGTTGTGCATCTTTGCAAGACTGAACAAACCCTGGCCAGAGCAGAGGCACGGGCAGTGTCCTGGTCAGACTGGCCTGGACTGATGATGACTTCAAAGGCATAGGTGGTGCCAAGCCGCAAACCTCACAGGAGAGTCGTGGAGCAGGCTTGGCAGATGTGGACCCCCCACCCTGCAGAAATGACACACACACCCCTCCAGCGGCTTGAGCTCGGTTGGCTGTGGTCCAGTCCTACTGTCAGCTCAGGCTTGCTGGGCTAGAAGCTTCCACCTCCAGCAAGTTGAGCACAGTGGGCTGTGGATCACCCGCTATCCCTAAGACCAGGGAGGGGAACCCCAAGACAGGGGAAAAGTGGTCCCTAAGACCAGAGTGGGGAGCCTGAGACCACGGAATGGGGACCCCAAGAACAGAGACTGAGAACCCAGAGACCAGGGAGGGGGAGGCTCTGAGAGCAGGAGGTGGAGACCCTGAGACCAGGAGAGGGGAGACCCACAGGAGGGCAGTATAAATACAATGTTTGAGAAAATCACTGTCAAAGTCCTAGGTGGCCATGAGTTAAAGGGGCAGAGACTTCAGATGACAAAGAGCAGTCCAAAACATTAGTTATGATGGTCACAAAACCAGCAAACACCTCCCGCCCACAGGAACAGCCAACCCTGGAGGGAAGCCACCTGACCCTTGAGTCTCACAGTGCACTTTGTACTTCCACATTTCCAAAACAAAGGTCAAAGGAAAGGCACACTGGCATGCATAGAGCCCACAGCAAGGTCCCAGGGCTGCGCAGGTGTCAGACTTAGAGGACAGTCATTAGGTCTCCTGCTGTAAATGTACTTAGGAAGCTGAAGGGAGCCTGGGACACAGAGCTGGAGGGAACCAGGAGATGGTGTCCCCGCCAACAGAAGAGAGAAATGAAGGGAGGGGGTTTGACAAAGGGAACCCTCACGATTGCAGAGCTGAGAAGCACAGGGGCTGAAGGTTGGACACGCACTGGAGTGTCTCAACAGCACACTGAGCGAGAAGAACCAGGAGCCCAAAGCTGGGTCTGTCTGTTGCACTTACCCAGACCGAGGAGCCGAAAGAAGAAAAAAGAATGAAGGGAATAAACAGTGCTCACTGTGTCGAAAGGAATTGGCAGATACAGAAGAATTTAATGAAATAACATTTGAGCAAAAGCCTATGGTGATCAAGGAAGAAGTTCAAGCTGCTTTGAAGGAAATGGCAAAAAATAAGGCCCCAGGAACAGATGGTATACCAATTGACATATTTCAGCTAACAGATGCTGCTCTGGATGTGCTCACCAAGTTGTGCCAAGAAATCTGGAGAACAACCACTTGGCCAACTGACTGGAAGAGATCTATATTTGTCCCCATTCCAAAGAAAGGTGACCCAACAGAGTGTGGAAACTATATAACAATATCATTGATTTCACATGCAAGCAAGATTTTACTGAAGATTATCCAAAAACAACTGGAACAGAACATCAGCAGAGAACTGCCAGAGGTCCAGGCTAGGTTTAGAAGGGGTCGTGGTACTGGGGATATTGTAGCCGATGTTAGATGGATCTTAGCTTAAAGCAGGGAATACCAGAAGAATGTCTGTCTGTGTTTCATTGATTATGCAAAGGCATTTGACTGTGTGGATCATAACAAACTGTGGCTGACTCTGAGAAGAATGGGAATCCCAGAACACTTGATCATTCTAATGTGAAACCTATACTTGGACCAGGAGGCAGTCGTCAGAATAGAGCAGGGTAACACTGCATGATTCAAAATTGGGAAGGGCGTATGCCAGGGATGTGTCCTATCTCCATACCTTTTCAACCTGTATGCAGAATAGATCATCCGAGAGGCTGGGCTCTATGAGGAGAAGTGTGGCGTCAGGATTGGTGGAAGATCTATTAACAATCTGCGTTATGCAGATGACACAACCCTGCTTGCTGAACCTGAGGAGGACCTCATGCACTTGCTGCGAAGGGTCAAGGACTACAGACTTTAGTATGGACTGAGGCTCAATGTCAAGAAAACAAAGATTCTCACCACTGGACCAATTGGTAGCATTAGGATGGATGGCGAAGAGATTGACATTGTTCACAGCTTCAGTTTGCTCGGCTCCACTGTCAACACTCTTGGCAACAGCAGCCAGGAAATAAAAAAACGTATTGCGGTGGGAAAGTCTGCTGTTAGGGACCTCGCTAAAGTACTCAAGAGCAACAGTGTCTCCCTGGAGACTAAGGTGTGCCTGATACAGGCCATGGTCTTTGCAATCATTTGTTATGCATCAGAGAGTTGGACAATGACTAGGGAGGACAGAAGGAGAATTGATGCCTTTGAGCTGTGGTGCTGGAGAAGAGTATTGAATGTACCATGGACTGCCAAGAAAAGAGATTCATCCTGGAGAGGGTTAAACCAGGCTACTCCTTGGAGGCAAGGATTCTGGGGCTTCATTTTACATACTTTGGACGTGTTTTAAGGAGAGACAGGTCCTTGGAGAGGGACATCATGCTTGGTAGGGTGGAGCGAAGCACAGGAGGGGAAGATCCTCTATGAGGTGGATTGATTCAGTGACTGGGGTGATTGGGATGGGTGTGTTGGAGTCAGTGTGATTGGCACAGGATAGAGAAAGGTTTAGGGCTGTTGTACATAGGGTCGCTATGAGTCGCAGATGACTTGATGGCACATAACAACAACAACAACAAAAACTTAAGAGATCATGAGAGCTCAGGTGTGCAGGTGTCCTCCCAAGAGAGGAGCGAGCAGCAGAAATGGCCAAGACTGTCAACCAGCTTTGTGACCCAGGCATGTGGCTTTTCACCTCTGAACCTCATCATCCTGTCCAAAAAACAAGACCAGGATGGAGATGGAGGAGGACCGTAAGGAGAGGGAGGAAGAGGAAGGAGAGAAGGAAGAGAGAGATGTGAGGGAGCAGAGGGTGGAGATGGAGGAGGACCATAAGGAGAGGGAAGAAGAGGAAGGAGAGAAGGAAGAGGGAGCAAACCACCTGTCACATCACCCGCAACAGCATACCACCTGTCACGTCACATGCAACAACACAGCAACCATCACATCACCCTCGTCAGCACAACACCCATCAAGTCACCCACCACAGCACCAGGCAACACAAGGTGCCTTTTCTGCATCATCCCCATGATTTGTGACCTTCTGCAGGCCTCCCCAGGCCTGGCGTGTAGACCCCTCTGGATCACTGGAGTAAGTGGCCTCTGTGCCAAGCCAGCCCAGGCCGACATCAGGGCCCACCTCCCTGCCTCAGAGCTCTGGTCCATCTGCTGGGGTAATCAGATCAGCAGACATGACCACTCCATAGTCACAGCAGAGGGCTGCCTGGGAGGGCTTCCCAGAGGAGAGGGCTTGAACAGAAAGAAGGAACGGGGAGACACTGGAAGGGGGCTATCTTCACCATGCACGGGGCAGAAGGCCTTGTGACAGCAGCCTGGCCAGAGCTGACTCTCCACCTACACACAGCCCTAAGATGGGCAGCCTGTCCTGGGCTGTGCCCTACCTGTGTCCAACCTTGCTGTGAACAGCCTGGGCTAAGCCGAGCCCCCCTGTACAGACCCCTGACCCATCCTGAGCTGAGTCCCCTGTGAAGACCCCTGACTTGTCTTGTGTGGATTCCCTACTTGTGAAGCCCCCTGACCCATCCTGAGCTGAGTCCCCTGTGCAAACCTCTGACCAGCCTGAGCTGAGCCCCTTGTGCAGACCCCTGACTTTTCCTGAGTGGATTCCCCGCCTGTGAAGCCCCCTGACCCAGCCTGAGCTGCACCTTCTGTGAAGCTGAGCCCCCACCTGTACAGACACCTGACCCGGCCTGAGCTGAGTCCCCTGTGAAGACCCCTGACTTGTCTTGTGTGGATTCCCTACTTGTGTAGACCCTTGACTCATCCTGAGCTTAGGCCCCTGTGAAGCCCCTGACCCAGCCTGAGCTGCTCCTCCTGTGAAGCCCCCTGACCCAGCCTGAGCTGCTCCCCCTGTGAAGCCCCTGACCCAGCCTGAGCTGCTTCTCCTGTGAAGCCCCCTGACCCAG